TCAATGTTACATTGAAAAGTGTAACACTAGAAAAAACTAAGTAAAAATGCATAATAATGATGCAAAATCTTATATAAATTGATACCTTCTGTCTCTTCAGGCGGTAAGACTGGAACTAGCTCATCCAGATCGCCTTCGCATTCTGCATCGTATCCTATCGTCGATGTTGGAGCACGACCCTTCACATTGCTGGCACAGTTTTGTGCAAAAATTAAGTTTTTTGTTGATTACTTGTTTATTCCTCGACTTCAAGGTAGGTACTGGGCGCTTTTGTGAAAATTCAAAAAATCGTGGTTTTTTTAGCGAACTCTAGTGCGGGTACCGCTTATCGTTAAATAAAAGCTAAATAATGTATTTTGTAGAAAATTTTATTTACTTTAATTTTGTATAGGGCGCCCATCTTTAAAAAACGTACGTTTTTGAGATATAAGCAAAAAACTGAAAAAAGTACTGAATAATTCCAATTTTTTTGCGTATTTCGGTATGAAGCCGACTTCCTACAAGGCAGCAAACAATAAATTCGGATGCAGCACATTCGATAACATATGAGGAGCAGACTTGCAAAACGCAGTTTGTCCAAATTTTAAATTTTTCAACTGAAGGTGGCGTTGCAATATACACTTGAATCTCTATCGTTTCATATAATATTGGATGTCCAAATCGCATTATGTCCCACTTGAAATGTGTTGTGAAATTCACTTGGACATGCAAAATGCATTTAGTCCATCGACATTAGACAAACAAATAGCATTTTGTCCGTGAGACGAACAAAACGCATTCAGTCCAGCCGTAAACACGCTGTTTTTATAACCTAACAGTTAGGTTACTGCTCTTAGTGTCGTTTCGGTTTATTTTGCAGTATTGTGTGTTTAGTTTGCATCTTTTTCGCAACGTTTCAATTACAATGGAATCTGCAGATGGGGAGCATATTGTTGGTGATTGTGACCGTGGTAGCCGGAAACGACAAGCAAATTTAACATCCAGGGAGAGAAAGAAGCAAGTCAGATATTCAAAACCATGATCCTGATTTACAACAATTTAATATAGTTTGTAATCATAAGAATAATCCAAAACTGCAGTGTGGGCAAGTAGGGCGAGATGATATACTTAAACCTCGGGAAGTTTTTTACAAAAATCCCAATAAAGTTATTCAAGATGGAATATTAGCCAGTAACATTGAGTTGGATATCCCTAAACGAAAAAGAGCTCGCAAATCTGATGGAAAACCGCACTCCTTGTCTGCAAAATATCATGTAAGTATAAAAGTACATACGTCGTTTTTGATAAAAGACTCCATGTTTTGAGTCTTACATACGTCGTGTTTCATCAACAATTTGGTGCAACCATTTTTTATGTTGGAAAGAATATTAAAGTTCTCGAGCTTTTGTTGATCTTTTACTGCTTTTTTCACTTAGTAGGTGTGTTATATTCGAATTTTTACAGGTATATATCAGTCGACAAAAAGTACAAATTTGTCAAAAGTTTGTAATGGCTGTATACAACGTTTGTCAAAGGAGACTAAACACAATTTGCAAGAAACTCCAGGCTGGGGAGGAAATTATAAAAGAAAAAAGAGGAGACGATAGACGAGCTTTTAAGTTTGTAGACAAATTGGATGCTGTAAAGTCGTTCATTAGTCAATTACAAGGAAAAGAGAGCCACTATGGAAGACAGAAGTCTCGACGGATCTACATATCTTCGGAGTACAACATTTCTATTCTTTGGCAGTTATATAACAAAAACTCACCAGAAGGTTTAAAAGTGAATTACAAGTACTTCAGTCGGGTGTTCAGTAAATATTTCAATATTGGATTCGGCAGTCCTGCTACTGATGTTTGTAGCTATTGTGTAAGAACACAAACCAAAATAAGTATGTCTCAAAGCTCTTCTGAAAAGCAGAAAATATCCACTGAACTGAAAGTACACAAATTTCGTGCCACACAATTCCATAAGTTAATGAAAACTGAAGTGCCTAATACAGTTTCGTACTGCTTCGACTTACAGCAAGTTCAGGTATTGCCAAAAGTACCTATTCAAGAGGCATTTTACGCTCAACAGCTGTCAATATATTTTTTTTGCGTTACCAAACTCAATTGTCAAGAACCAATATTTTACACGTGGATGGAACACCAAGCAGGAAGGGGGGCTACTGAGACATCATCTGCCATTATTGATTTTTTAAAAAGAACTGAATTTCCTGAAGATGCGACGAAGATCCGTTTTTTTGCCGACGGCTGTGGGGGGCAAAACAAAAATAGTCACGTCATACATGCTTTGATGTTTTGGCTCCATACGTCAGGCGAAAAAATAAAGGAAATAGAAATTATATTTCCGATCAGAGGTCACTCTTATCTTCCTGCCGATCGAATCTTTGGACGCATCGAAAAAATATTAAGGTCCCACAGTCTCATAAAAACTCCAGACGCATATTGGGAATTGTACACTAAAGTGGGCGAGGTACGAAAACTTGGGTCTGATTGGAATCTGCTTGATGTAAAAAATATGCTGCAGTGGCTCAAAAAAGTGAATGGCATAAGTTCTTGCCGAAGATTTTTTATTAAAAAGAATGTTTCCGCCAACAATATTTTAGTGAAAAGTGAAGTACTCTATCGCACTGATACAAACAAATTCCAATCTTTACTAAAACCACGCACACGATTCGACCAGGTAGTCGTGCCATGGCTACCTTTGGGACATCAGATAAAGAAAAAAAAAATAGACAGTTTAAAAAAATTATTAGAATCATTATCTGGAGAAAAGTGGAACAATGATCCAGAACTGGCATGGTTAGTTCCAATTTTTGAAGAACAACGTGAAGATGGGGAAATAGAAGCAAATGAAGAATGTGAATGTAACGACATGGAAGAGGTTAATTTCATTTAAAGTTTGTAAATAATACAAGTAAACGTTATCGACAATATGTTTGTTTCATTTCCAAATTTATTATACCCAGTGATCTGTTGGATGGACAATCAAAATGCTGTTTGTCAACTAGTGACCTGCAAATAGCATTTTGTCCAACAGTTTTTTTGAAATAGTAAAGCCACTTTGGCTTTTTCCAGTCTGCAAATTTAGTAATTTCTCATGCTATTTTTAATAGATTTTTTAATACCAAACGCAAGTCCGTAAGTAACTCGTATTGTACGTAGTAGTTTTTTGTCATTCCTGAAAATTTACAATTTTGGACAAAACGCGTTTTGCAAGTCTGCTCCTCATATAAAACCGTTGATAAAAAAACTTCCGCAATTTTGTTCCGAAAACGGTAGTTTTAAACACGTATTTACTGGACTATTTCTCCAATTTTTGTTCGGTTTCGTGAATGATTTTTATAATGTTATGAAAATCCCAAAAAACATTCAGTTTTATCAACCACGTCTTAGAAAAAAAAGTCTGTAAGTCAACTGGGCAATCTTCTCATAATGACAAGAAGTAGCTCTTGATAGCTGGAAAACAGCAAGAAGTCTCTCTATCGCAGGATATAGAGAAAGCCATCGAGTCGGCACATGTCGTAAAAAAGCTTTGTACTGTAAGGTCTACGAAATCAAAAAAGCCTTTCAGCTCTTTAACCCGTTTTGGTTGAGACGAAAAGTGGCTGTAGCTTTTCAAAACAAGATTTTCGAGATCAACATTGCATTTGGCTAGAACATATTTCAATAATTTTTTGGGATCTTTTTTTCTTCATTGTGGTTTGGATTTTGGGTTTCCTTTTATATTCGTTACCTTTTTTGGACCTGGGTCATCATCAAATACTTTTTTGCTAAACTTTTGCTTTGAATCTTGCAATTTGTGAGTGAGTGGAGTCAAAGCCCACAAGCAAATCTGTTATGGTTCATAGGAAGTATAACATCAAGTTATGTGTGTATAGTGCAAGGTATAGTGTAGGTACCTAATACAGTATGCACCTTACGGATTTCAACGAGAAAATTAGGGTGTTGGATATGTGGAAGTGAAAATAGAGAAAAATGTGTGCGCTGTAAGGGCACAGATATGCCCAGAACAGAGTTCGAAGTAAATCATACTCTGAATTACAATTACAATATTATATATCTATGGATTTTCGTCGATAACTGACTGAAAGTAAATCGACATTATGCACTTTAAAATTAATTAGAATCGTCTTCACAACAATACAAATGGGATGTCAAATTCGCGGTATCACGTCGAACTTTTTTCGTATATTTCCTATTGGGACGTTTATATACAATTTATTAGGTTCGCGATGACTTCTGCTATCACGCTCAGGTACAAATGCAATAATTATTCGACGCTTTTTTCCGTCAAAACGACGTTTTCTTTCTCTGAATCGATTGTAAGAAATGCTACGGCTGGGCGCCAACGCGCGTATTGACGTCACTGCAATGTGGCGGTCATTCGAAACTTTTCAAACGCCGTTCATTTTAAAATCGTGTTTGCTAATCACAACGATTTCTCTTGACAAAAAAATGAGTACCACTAATATTTTTAATGTGCTTGGAGGTTTTTGAAAAAACGCGGAAAACCCCATTGTCGGGTGTAGATAAAACTTTGTTTTGGAAATGTTTCAGCCATAAAGAAAACACATTCTCATTGCTCCAACCATTATCTGTGCATGTATAAATTGCACCGCTTGGTTCATTCTTCTGGAGATGAGGGCTCTTTCGCTTCCTAGGAAAAACAAACAATGGTGGAATGTAATTACCCGATGCACTAAAAGCGGCAATTACGGTAATGTTTTTTGCACGTTCCCACGAGGAAATGATTCCAAATTGTTTTACTCCTTTAGGTCCGAGTCTTTTACTTGTTTCTTTAGGAACCGTGGATATACCAGTTTCATCAACGTAAAACGTTATAGATACGGTCTGGGAGAAACTTATACTTTTCTTGAACGTTCACTAGGGTTTGAAAGTAGCGGTCTACTTCCGTTTTATTGAAAGCGGTTATCCGATTTATACTGGTCGCTTCTGGCTTTCTTAATGAAATTTGAGGATTTCTTTTCATAAAACTGTTGTACCAATCCTTCCCCGCCATTCCCTTCTCTTTATTAAAATTGTGATTAATTTTATTTTCTTCTGCATACTTATACACCACTGTTCTCAGTTGTATGCAAGTGAGGCCAAAAAAAAACAGGAGACATCGAGCCCCGAAGGCTGCGACTATCCCTGGGAGAATATGACACCGTTTCCCGCAGAACACGGCTGTCACGAAAACCAGTAGATAAGGACACGTCCGAACCCGCGCTACTCGAGCGGCGGCGAACGGTAGGATGGCCTTTTAATGGCGGCGTCCTATTTTCCTTGGAAGGCGAGCCGCGGCGCCGGGAATGGCTGTCCTTCTTTCTTTGACCTTTTGTCAGTGTCCTTTCTAATTTTCGTAAACGTTGAAAAAGTTGTTTCTTAGACTGCTCACCTTCGGAGTCGCTGCTAGAACGCGAGCGACTTCTTTTCTTATGCTTGCCCATGCTAAAAAAGGTGTCTATACCAAATGTTAAAATACTTAGTGCTTGTTCACAATGGACATAAGCGTAACAAAAACATAACAGATACATAATTCATAATGTTGAATAGTAGCAAACCATGGTATGTGCTCACAATGATTACATAATTTTTATTTTTTTGTAAATATTTGCGTATCTTTTATGTCGTACCGAAACGGTACATAAAAAATACATAAAGTTGGGTCGGTTTCAACTTTACGTAGGTTTTATGAAAAATCTAGTGGAATTAGGTGTATTTCTGTTGGGTACAAAGCTGCAGCACTGCGCTGTTGGTTTGACATTTCAGTTAACCTCTAACGTCGATGACATCTCTTCTGCCAACATAATCTGGTTATTTTTAAATTGGTACATAGTTTTTGACGCATTATTTCATAATTTGGTGTGGTTTGGTCATTCGTGTGTTGTTCTTTGATTATATCCAACACGACATGGGAAACATAGACGTCGAATTACTAATTAGTTTGGTGCGATTAAAACCCTATTTGTTTAATAAAGGGGCAAAAGATATAAGGTTAATAAGTGATCGAATATTGCTGGAGTCATCCTGGTGTATGAAAAAAACCATTCTTCATCATGCAGCTTCATTTCTAGACACAATCGCGTAAATTCTCCCCTTTTCTCTCGGTCTCGATTTATAGGTCTGACCCACCAACGCTGTTTTTGTTTTGTTACTGTAACATAATGTACAAGTTAGGTACATGCGCCACTACCGGACGTCAACCTACAGACGACATCGGTTCAATCAATAATAAAGATGTTTAATAGAATTACCTTTATTATAATTTCAGCAGCCTAAGCTCCGAATATAACATGGTGTCAGGTGTAAACCGTAAGAAATATTAAAAAGTAAGAAAGAAGGCATCTAATAATAACAAGTAGTAAAGTACTGAAAATTTAATAAGAAGAAAAGTAAGGTTAAGCACGTGAAAATGGAATCGTCTTTCAAGCACAGAGTTGTATATAAGTAAATAGAGAGACAGTCTTGTAGCGAAAAATTGACTCCAATTGAACCTTGCGCAGGCCGTTGGTGAGTGTGCGCAGTAATCGACAACAGAACCGGCTTCAAATTAAATGATCCTTAAAGCAGGTTCGGCTTGAGAATAATATGGTTTCTCATTGCAACAAATTTGAAAAGAAATTCAATGTGTGGTGAATGATGTTGTTAACACTGTGTCTTGAATAAATAAGAAACATTACAATCGTTAAGAACTTTTAATACAGTAGACTACAATACAAAGCTGGTAAGGGGCTTACAACATCAGAATCGAGAAAAGATTTTTGAGATTCTGGTATAAAGGAAATCGTATATTTGTCGTGCGATCGAGTTTAAAGATCTATTTATGCACTCAGTGAGTAGGTATAAAAATAAGCAATGAAAGAATAAAATAAGGAAATTTTATTTTGGTGCGGGACAAAATTTCAGGTGTGCAATGCCAAAAACACAGTTTGAATACGGGTAGCCACAAAGTCGACAAACTTCAAATGCAAATAACTCAAATATCTCAATAATGAAGCATCGGCAGAGGGTATGTATGTATAGTGGCACCACGCTCAGAAGGTCCCTGACAGGGTGTGTCCGAGGACGTTGGAAATTTAGACTGTACATTCTCATGCAAAATTTGACTCTACTAAATATAAATAAGTGAGCCACGCGATATGAGTTGCATTACTTCAAAGGGAAACAGTAAAATTAATAATTTTATTTCAACAAAACGTAAACACATGTAAGATTGTTAGATGTTCATGTTCAACACAATTTACAATTCTGATGCACTTCTGCTGTGTAAATATGGACAGTTATTGAAACAATCACATTGAAATTAATAACACTCACATTGACTAAATTAACACACAACCTTTAACTTTTTTCATTCATTATCGTCACTTGACCACTAATCATCATCGGAACTGCCGGTGTTCACAATAAATTGTACATTGTCAATAAATTCATTTCTCGTAGGAATGTTATTTGCTTCTAACCAAGAACGTATCACTTCCTTACGATTATTCATTGTTGGTGGCTTATTTATTTGAACACTGATAAGGTGCGTGAGTTCGCTGGTAAATTTGGTATAAGCTGCTTCTCTAACCACTGCATAAAGTTGGTATGATTCATATCACCGTAATAATCCCCCGATTTACTGTGCGACATCCTCTACAAAACCAGAACGACTACCACCATACTACGATGTACCTCTGACCAGCCCTATTATAAACTATCTGATTGTTAGCATTTACTCCTCCGTACGATGGGTGAATATAGGTTTCGTGCAAGTATATAACGGGTTTCTTGTCACATTCAGGTTGTTCATTTTCTTTTAATCTTCTTAAATAACGAGATGCCATACTACAATGTCACTTCTTTCCATTACCAACGTACGTTTATCCCGACACTTCTTGTATCGAAAACCAAGTTTCAACAATTGCTTGCGAAGAGTTTTCCTTCCACCCATATATTTGATCTTTTCTTGCACTTTTCTAGGAGCATTTTAAAATAACCTTTATTTATGTACAGATCGTCGCCTACTAAACATTGAAATGGCGGTAAAGAGTATAATGTAATGGGCATGCTTCAATTATTGCTCCAAAGCGTCTGTTTATTTACAAATGAATCTGAAGCATCTGAAAAGTTATGGCTGTTTTGTTTTGTGATTGTAACTGAATGCACCCAAAAATCGTGCTGATTCCCTTTTACGCACTGCGCATGAGTCCCAACGGCTCCGCCATTAAAAT